GAGAATATATGTGAAGTGAAAGTTTTTGTATTTATCTTTAGCATTTATCTTATTTATTTAGCATGTATTTATCTTTTTGTATTTACCTGAGACTTTTGGCCAATATTAAATTTAAATTTTCTGAATGACAAGATTTCCATCAGTAAATATCTCTAGAGGTAGAGTTATATACTTTGCAATGTATTTTTTTTTTTTTTTTAGTTACATGTCTAGATTCTTTATGCCAAGAACTAGGGTTCTGAGAGGAAAACATCTGAGTTTAATTCTGCTAATGGCATAAGTAAACTTTTAGTCCCTCTACTGGCTGCCTTGGTCATAGCAGACCTTTAATTTTTTTTTTTTTCTTTTCAACTCTTAAGATAAAGACTAGCTTTATGACTGAGGTGAATTTTGAGGTAAATTCTAATATGAACTGTCTCCAAATTGAGTGACTTCATTGATATCCTTATTAAGAATAAAAATGTAAAATAGTGGCTCAAGTTTTGAGAATTATTAAACTTTGCTGCTGGTGCTAAGTCGTTTCAGTCGTGTCCAACTCTGTACGACCCCACAGACGGCAGCCCACCAGGCTCCCCTGTCCTTGGGATTCTCCAGGCAAGAACACTGGAGTGGGTTGCCATTTCCTTCTCCAATGTGTGAAAGTGAAAAGTGAAAGTGAAGACGCTCAGTTGTGTCCGACTCGTAGTGACCCCATGGACCACAGCCTACCAGGCTCCTCTGTCCATGGGATTTTCCAGGCAAGAATACTGGAGTGGGTTGCCGTTGCCTTCTCCGATTACACTTTGCAGATTTTTGTAAAACATGAAAAAAATAATCTTGTGATACTGGCAGACAACCAAAAATGTGTTTTAGTTTGCTGGGTAAAAGATAATATCAGAGAAAGATTCCAATTGTATACATGCTTTTGCCAAACTAGAAAAGGCAGAGGAGGAACAGCCTAAAACTATATGTAAGAAAACTTTATTGGCACAACGTGGTCTGGTCATTTTCTGCAGGTTATTTAGAAATTTATGCTTAGATAAATGTTAATACAATACTTTTTATATGGAAGTTGGGATAATTTTTCCCTGGGGAAATAAAGAAACCTCTCTTTGTGTGTAAATTACATTCATTAAGTCATTATTCTGATTTTTATCATAACTAATACTGTTCCTTTTCTTAGTGTGATTCTTGACTAAACTGTCTCACCTGAGTCAGGAAGGGGTCTTAGGCACAGCAGAGTTAAATGAGTAAAGAGCTGAATGAAGATGGCCAGATTTTTCTCTACTTTTTTCTGCCTTTGATCTTTACTTGTATTTTCCAAAATTTAAAAGTCATTAAAAGCTTTTAATATTATTTTATTTTTTCATTTGTATATATCATGTCTGAAAGTTGATTGAAGTTATAGAGTTTTCAAAAGTAAGTAATATGTACAACATTTTGTTTTACTGTGTTTTTCTTGGGGGAGTGGTATATTTATATATAGAAAAATTGATAAGGCATCACAGAACTGCAGGAAATAAGACATCACAGAGCAACAGGAAACCAAATAATGAAATAGTCCTGCCGTACATAATTAATTTTATTGCAGGTAGAGTATATTAAATGAAACCAAATTGCTTGTAATCCTGTAATACTGGGGGATTCCCTGGTGAATAATTCCAATACTATAATACTGGGAGCTTCCCTGGAAAAGAACTCGCCTGTTAATGCAGGAGACGCAGGTTCCATCCGTGGGTTGGAAAGATCTCCTGGAGAGGGAAATTACAGTCTGCTCCAGTGTTCTTGCCTGGGAAAGCCTATGGACAGAGGAGCCTGGTGGGGCCTATGGGGTCGCAGAAGAATCAGACAGGACTTAGTGACTAAACAACAAGAACTGCAATTGTAATACCATTCTTTGTTGCATGAAAATGGCACAACCCAGGTTGGTGTAGAATTGTATTCAAGAGAATTTAGCTACTGCTATTAGGACATACAGATGCTTCAGAAAGACCACGTAATTCAGAGTTGGAATCACTTTCTGGCTTTTTCCAAAATCAGATGTGTGACTTAGGGTTATATTGTTTAATCTCCATGATTAAACATTTTTACTTCACCAAGTTTTTAGGATCAGATGAGATAAATATAAGTGCTTATTGCTGTTATCAAGTGCCTGGTTATTACAGTAATTTTAGGCGTAGAATCTGAAGAGTATTATGTGTACAGGTCTCCAGTAAAGTATCAATTAAGAGCTTTGTTGTCAAGAAAAAGTAACTTTGATTTTAATGTTTAAATTTGGCTTAAATTTTTATAACTTAAAGACTTTTTGCTAAGTTTTAATACATTTGAACTTGATTTTTAGACATTATGGTTCTTAAATAAGTATGTGTTTGAGTTTTTGGGTAGACAACATCATCCATGAAGTTTTTAATAACTGTACATAGTTTGATTGTAAATATGTCAAGTCATTTGGCTTTTGGAGGATAATTATGAGTGTGCTTACACAGAAATAAGAGTGGATGGTTTTCAAACTTTTGAACAGAAAATATGACTTTGATTTAGGTTAAAATATAAAGGTGAAGCAGAGATACCTGTGCAAGTGTTTAGCCCATGCCCTAGCAGCATTAATAGATTTGCTGATCTGTTTCTTAAAGGAAGCAAGTCAGTCAGAGTAGTTTTAGCTTAAGGATGAAAGTGGGATACACACGAGGACATCTTGATTTTATCGTCTTTTGTCAAATTATATTTGTAGCCAAATATATTTGAAGAGACGAGAGTTATTGTATGTCCATTGGTACATTTATTATTTATGAGAATAGAGATTATGTATCATGCATCAACAGTTCTTGACGTAGAATAGTCACTCAATGTTTGAGTAGCAAACATGAATGAATAGAAGGTGGATGACTGGATGGACATAAAGAGGAAGGAGGTGGAATACTCTTACTGCCTAATAAGTTTGGGGAGCATTCATTTATATTGCCGTAAAGGTGACATCTATATTTTTTGAAGTTTGTTGAAGTTTGAGTAATTCTGATAGGCTCTGTAAACTCGTGTTAAGTTCAATGGTGTTAAGTATATTCACATTATTGTGTGAGATGTAATATATTTAAAGTGAACATAAGGAACAGATGCATGCTATAGGGAAGTATATTCAAAATGTACTCCATGAAAGCACTCCAGGTCTAGTTTTATTTGGGGAAATGTTATGTTTATATTTTTATTTAAGTTTGAAAACTACCGCTATTAAAATTGGAGAGGGAAAGAGGGGGTGAATTAGTCAAGGCCAGAGTAATCAGGGAAAGTCTTAAGGCAGGAGAGGAAGGCTTAAACTGGGATGAGAAATTAGATGGGTTGTGGGCAGGATAAAGGAAAAGCATTCTTGATAAGGGAACCAGTCAAAGCTCAGAGGTTGGGAATGAACACTGCCTGTTTCTAGATTGAAGAGGAGATCCGTGTTATGAGAATTTATTGTGTATGTTGGGATGAATGGTGTGAGAGGCAGCATAGTAATGTTTTCCAAAATGTGTTCCGTCTCCCATGACTGTTACAGAGGAAGAAGGGAGGGAAATCACATCCTTCTTCTGCAAGATTCTAGGAACATGTGAATGCAGCTGCATTTGAAAGCCTTTAGAGGTTATTCCAACATATTTTAATTTGATCTGACCAGAGGACGTTTTCTCTACTTGGAACCATTGTTTCTTGGACACTAGTTTGAAAAATGTTTATGTCACTTACATACATTTACACTTCTTGACTTGATCAAGAAATTTAATATACCAAATACCCCCTGCTCCCTCTTTATGATTAGGTTATAATCACAATGACTGTATGTGGAGAGTGTTTGTAAACTCAGTCAACAAATGAGTGTGTGCTGTAATCTAATAATTGAGAGTTATATAAATGTAAGGGAAATGTTACAGAACTATAAAATATTACATGCTACATCCTTGCTATTCTGTGTGTGGTCAGTGGACTTTAGTGTCTCCTATCTCCTAGCCTGCTATCTTGTTGGAAATGTGAAATCTTAGTCTTTGTCCCAGATCTACTGAACCAGAGCCTGCATTTTGTTAAGATCTCCTAGTGATTCATATGCATGTTAAAATGTGCATGTGTCCCATGCTGTTTTATATCATATCCAACAAAACTACTTTCTGACCTTTCTTGAACACACTGTTAGTAGCAGAGAATTTGATACTTTTGATTTCATACATAGTGTTTACCCTGTTTAACTTCTATGTTTGGTCATGGTTTTGTCTTAAAGAGTTATACAAAATATGCTTCAGTATTGCAAATGAGAGTCATTTATGTGTAAAAGATAAGCTTATGTTTATCTGAGTCCCTAACAAAATCTGTCACCTAGAATTGATCATAGCATTAGTGACTTGGCCAGAGATTTGAATGGAAGTTAGTGAAGTTGATTCACCTTAACTGTAGAGCATTTAAGAGCTCTGTATGCTACTGCTGTTTTTTTTTTACTCCTCTGCCCAAGCAATTTCTTTAAATTGCCATCCTTCTTAATTTTGACTTTTCATATTGGACTGTTTCGCTAAGCTCAGGGCAGGCCTAGTGTTTCTTTGGAACCAGCTCATGGAGCCCTTCCATCTCTGTACTGGATCACTTGGCTAGATACTTTGATTATAGGCATAGATTACTTGGTAGATGTTGAGGAAGTTAAAAATTATTTTAATTTGTAATGTCTAAATATATCAAATCATTAGAATTGAACTGTAGGGTCCCTTTTAAGAAGTTAAATACTTTTAGTTACTTAAGTATAGATGCTCACTGTAAAAATTAATACAATACAAAAATGTAGAAAGAAGTGAAAAATCCATCTTTTCCTCTAATTCCAACCCTTCAAGGTTAACCCGTTTATGTTTCCTTCTAAACCTGTTTTGAAAATGTACAAAAGGTATAGTTGTAAATAAAATTTAAAAACAAGAAAAGAGGATTTATATACTGTTTTGAAAATTGACTTTTTACTCAGAAAAATTAAGCTCATTTTTAGATCTTAATATGATCAATATCTTTTTTGACTTTAGGGAAGAAACCCCTTTTTTTTGGAGCCAGCAATAATTATTACAATTACTGATGGGAGCAAGTTGACTACTACCAGTGGAGTCCAGGATGAGGTAAGTTATGTTTATATCAGCATGGATTATGCAAAAGCATTTGAAAAAATCTTTATTTGTATATGCATTGTAGGATAGTGAAACCTTAAATAGGTTCTCTATTTGATGCAGTCTAGACTCATCTGGCTTCTAGAACTCATTTACCTTCTCTGTTGTTGGTAGCACTGGCCTCTAATTTTTCTTGAATTAGGAATCCCTTCTGTGAAAAATTTTGGATCTACCACCCATCTCAATTGTATGTGTATTTTTGAGTTTATGTGAGGGTCACAGTGTCAGTTACAGTATATTTAGTAAAATGAGTTCTTATTTTGAGACTCAAAAAATGGATGCAGCATTTTAATAATTACTTCTTATTTCAGTGGATTGTCATTTGTACTCCACTATGGAGACTCCTAGACTAGAGTACAGCAAAGCCAAGAGGTGGTTAAGTCTAGGAAAAGTGAAGGTTTTTTGACATTTTAATTTTTAGTCAAATACTATATAAATAAGTTAGAGCTAGCCTCACATATTCTCTGCTAGCATGCATTGTGCAGTGTTGGGTGTGTGTTGTGTGATAGGTTCAGTGCAAGGGATTCATCTTGACTTTAAGATGTTTTTACTGTAATATTTGAGCCACTCTTGAATATTACGTTTGTTTATTAAAATAGATTGATATAGAAAGGAGGTGGTTTAGGCTATTCTCTTTACTGCTTGCAGTTGATTTAGAATCTTAATTTTAATTCTCACTGTATTTACAAAGGGTTTAAGTAGGAAAAGTGTAGTTTTTAAGTTTAGTAATCTTTAGAAATACTTTGATTTGTGTGACATTGTGAAATGCAAATTGTATATACAGTCCAGACACGTGGACTAGTCTTTGTTCAACTACTTTCTAGCAATGAAGTTTGTACCTAGCATCCCTAAACCTCTGTACTCGTCCATAAATAAATTCTTGCCTTACCTCATAGGGTTGTTGAAAGACTGAAATGAAATAATGTGAATGAAAGTACTTGGTATGCTCTAATGAAAAGAACACTGTATAATTCTACCATGAAACTTTGAAACTAGTATAGAATTGTTATTTCCTGATCTTGACTTGGGGGGAAGAGAGCCAGATTTATTTTGTTTGAACAGTTGATGTTGAAGGGGAATTTAGGGTATAACTCACAGAAAAACAGTTGAAAAATTAGGTAGATTAAAATTTGTAATTAAATAATTTATAGGCATAGCTATGGGATGCTCCATAGCTGACATTAATGGATTTTGGGGCTTTCTTAAACTTAGTTGATCTGTGTAGCCAATTATATTCTGCCATTTTTCAGAAACAAATAGACATTGATTGTATACATTAAGAGTGAATAGATTGTTTAACTTCAAACTTGAAAATTTCAAATTTTTTCCCACTTTGCCTTCCTTTTGAAAAATTTGAGAGAAAGATTGAGGTATGAGTAATCAGGTCAGAAGCACTATGATTTTGTTTTGTAGTTATGATGGCTGCAAAGGTCTTTTTCTTTTTTATTTATGTTTTACATTTATATGAAGTATTTCTCCATGTGAGGTTATCTATTCAGGGTACTCTTATCTTAACCAGCTTTGTAGAAATTCCCTTTGGGGTTTAGTATATTTCGTTCCTATATATCTGGATTTGCTTTGTTGGTGATAATTTGTTTTAGCTTTACGAAATATCTTGAAATATACATATGGATATTGGAATTGCTCACTTTTTGTCCTAGGTCCTTGGGAGAGATACTGGAAAAGTAGAACTATGTGTTTATAGTAACCTAAAACTCATCCCTAGTAAGGTTGGGAAGATTTTCCTGTGGACTAGGATATTGCCTTTTAGTGCTGTTGTATCTTCTATAATATTTAGCATAGTACTAAGAACAAGGCTTACATTAAAAAAGTATTGATTATAGATGTTGCTATATTGAGTCTGATAGTCACAATCAAAATTGATCACAACTTTTTATCTGAGATAGATGACTTGTTATGAGGCAAAGATTTATTTTGGATATGCTGTTGGAATATTGGTCTGTGAGTTATTTTGGGTTTCAAGTTTAGGAGTTTCTTTGGTCATCTCCATATTGGGTTCTTCATATTCCAACAAGACTCACTTTGAGGGCCAGAGAATGTATCCTGTATGTGTTTATTGTGGAAGGTTTATTTTTCGCTGAGATGTGAAATACTTCTCTCTCCTAGTCTTAATAATTAAATAATGTGATTCATTTTGAGGACAATTATCAGTTTATAAAAGGCATAAAGATGCTTTTCGATTTGCTTGTTTTTTTGTGAGTGTATGTGTGTTATATGATCTGTATTGTAATTTTTACTAGGAAATAGCAAGCAGAATATTGCTTTCGCCTCTTTTTCTTCAGTCCTGTTATCCTTTACCTTTGGCAAAACTTGATTCTTTTTAAAGATTTATTGAATGAGTGAGTGTTGATAATTTCCACATTAGATATGTGTGTATAATTCTTGAGTAGCTGTGACTGCTGTTGATGTGACCTGTTACTATTTATAGAGTTGTGCATCCCACCCATACAGTGCCCTTTGCTCAAAGTTCTGTTATCTCACATAGTGTATATGGTCTGTTCTGCTAGTGCTATTTTCCAGTAATAAGTGTTCCTGCTGCTTTGAAATCATCCTTATGTCGTATTATTTTTTATTTTACAAATGAGGAAATTGAGATCTGGGAAGGCAAAGTGATTTGCTCAAGGTTATAACATTTATTATTGCCAAACTCTGGATTAGAATTGATCTAAATTCCAAAGACATCCTAGCCCCTCCAGACCCAGTGCTTTTTCCCTGATGCTATCTGCTGTCTTTCTGTTTAAATCTATTACTGTATGTTCTTGAAATTTGCATTCTACTTACCTGATTTACTGTTGTCTGCTTCCCCTCTCTGTGCATTTGTGACATGGGTATTATGTTCCTGTTCTCTCAGTGTCCCTTGAATGACCATTATGACCAGGGCATTTCTAGGTAGTGAAGATAACAAAGATGAATAGGGCGGGTTTCTGGTTCTTAAGTTCACAGTCTTATGGGGGAGGATTGTCTGTTAAATGGTATTATGAGTGATAGAAGAGAGAGATACATACTAGGTGTATGAAAGCACTAAAGGAGGAGAGGAGGGTTAATATTACCTATCCTGTGCATGTATCAAATCCTGTGTGATGTAAATTTTTATAGTCATTTTAATTCTGATTAAATTCAAGGATCTTGTGATTCCGTATAGGATGTGGCTCATAGATTATGTCTGTGAAAGTTATAGAGAAACTTGGTACAAAGTTGTTTCGAACCTAGAAAATAGTTTATGGAAAAACTTGGTGCCATATTGCCTCCTGACCTGGCTAAATTTGTACAGGCCAGAATGATCTAGTTACTTACAACTTATTTATCAAAATAATAACAGGGATACTATTTCCTCTATGACAGGTCATCATTTAGCAGTGTGTTAGGAGTTTCTTCTGAGAAACAGCAGGTATTATGGTTGAAACTCCTGAGCTGTGTAACGTCATTTTACCTTAATTTGTGATTTTAACTATCTTTTTTCATCTTATTTAATGAAAATCCAGGCCATTGTTTGAGTTGTTCATAAGTGTTTCTAGTGTAGTATTTTTGGATAACTCTGTGGAAATTTTGATGATGGCCTATGGTAGAAGAATATGTTTGTTATCTTTTGACTTTTTTTCTTTTTAAATATAGCTGTTTGGTAAAAAAAAATTTTTTTTTTGCAGTGTTTTCATTTATGAGGTAGGAGTTAGATGGGACCTTGAATTCTGATACATGAGAAATCTGTATATTTCTTATTGCCATAGTCATCTTTGGTGTTGATAAGCATACTTGTGGTCAAATACTTCTAGTATCATTCATCATGTTATGTTACTAATGTATCAGATGTTTTGGTAGATTCACCAAATAATAATTAGAGTTACTGAAAAAAATTTTCTGGTTTTTATTGCTTGAGAAGATCTTCTTTAATACTCTTTTGCAATGGAAAACTTCTGTGCTATGATACCAGGAACACGTGGCTAACTATATTGCTCAATAAAGTAGCCAGAAGAAATCCTGCCAGTCCCTTCTTGGTGATGAATGACATTCCAGGATCATGTAGCAGTTATTTTTCTCTTCCTTGAAAGTGCTAATAGTAGTGTTACCTTTCAGATATTGAGATTTGCTGAAGACTCTTTGCGTGTCTTTATCAATGTTGTGATTTCCCTAGAGGCTAATGTTTTAGAGAAGATATTTGCAGTCAAAAAAACCTGTTGGCTTTTGACATGAAAAGTTTTCCCTTCTAATGAGTTTTCCAGCTTTTTAAGACAAACTAGGACTGCTACTTTCATAACTTCTTGAAAGAGTACTTGTTTGTAGAAAGAGAAATGTCTGAGTAAGCTCAACTGTATATTAAAGTGGCTGTCCTTTGTGATCTTACCTTTCAGTTTTTCAGTTCTCAAAAGTTGATGCAGAAGTCCCATCAGTCTTTGAGATGTGGACTGGTATTAGTGATTTTTTTGGATCATTCTGGGCAATATAGAATGAATTTACCTTTTATAAGGATAATCTATAGTTAGGATCTATAATTGCAGTTTGCATTTAACTCTTCATGTTGTGTAATGTTTAAAAGACAATCCAGAATTTTTAAATGTTTCTACTATCTGAAATCAGAAACCGCATCTCCATCCCCCTATAAAGTATTTTGTTTCACTAAAGTTACCAAAATATGTGCCAGAAGCTGTTGAAACTATTTTAATCATGCAAAGATTTTTAGACACATATTTTAAATTGTTGTTTCCCAGTACACTTAGAATTTGGGAGACTTGTTTTTATTTTTTTCTTTTTCGAAAAGACTTCTAAGGAATCTTGAAGGATGTTATTGTAGTATGGTAGAATGTATTAAACAGATCTGTGTATAAATGCGTTTCTGAGTTTTCATTATCAAGATTAGCTTCTGTCTTACTGATTCAGATGTTCTGAACATACGTATAATATAACGATGTATGTTGGTCTCTATTAACTCAACTTTC